AAATTGTTTGTTTAGACTATTACAATATTCTATATGTATGCCAAGATGATTTGAAAAACGATAAAAGAAAATAAGTGGATTTCAAATGATTCCTTGCACTCAGTCATTTCACATTCATTTCAAACGTACTACATCTAGCTACTTATTTCAAATTCACTCAATCTAATGCGGTTCTTGGTTTTGTATACCCAAATAATTTCTTTCAAATCCTTCCAAATGAAGCCTATAATATTTTAGGATAAATATACAATATTCTATCAAAGCCCACCAAACAGAAAAGTTAATCTTAACATGAATCTCACATAAGAACTCATGATCATCCAAAAGAGCAACCATAGTTAACCATCTGTTGAAGTGTAAAATCACTCAAAAGAGGGGTTTCACATGGGGACTAGAAGTGTTGGAGAGCAAAATGCCTAGCTACTACCTTACTATATATGTCGGTTTACAGTTGGGAAAAAGTGGAAAATGGCTAGCCTTCAACGATGGATGTTGTGAGTTAAAGATAAAATATGATACAGATCGGCCATGATCTCTCTCTTGGTAACTGTTTTGCTCAAAACCTGCCAAGCCACAATCAGGCATGACACCTTAAGTAAATCTTACACCTATTGTTTGCGTGAGCGTGCCACTACTAGGCTATAAAGCTTTGTAGAATGACAAACCTATGTGCCTACGTGCGTACAAGTAAAAGTAACAACATCTGATCCACCATTATTTTGCTATGCTAGGAAGAAGTAGTTGTGGGAAATTAGGTTCTGTTGTTAAAGTTGGTCTCATGACATGATCATGTTTTTTGGCCATGTCTAGGATGAAAATATAGCAACCTCAACGTACGTATATATACAGTATTGTGGTGGCATATATACAAGATTTAGTATGTAACAAAATAGGACAGCTAGTAGCAGAAGCAACAATAATACGAAGAAGAGAACTAGGAGATCATTCACAAAGTATACCTGGTATTTTTTGTTTTCCTTTTCTTCTGATGCCATTTGGAGACTTTGTTGCTAGGTCTCCCAACTGCAAAGCCAGTTGGGTAGACTGGGTGATGCTGCTCTCCGCTCTCCATGTATAGAATTACAAGTAAGCTTGGCTTTTATAATAGCTCGCTCTTGTCGGAGCTGTCGAGCCTTGAAACTAATTAATTAAAGAAACAAGGCGGGTCTTTCTAATTGGACGCTAACACCAAGCCAATGAATGTTTTATTTTTGGGTAAACGCCAATGAAATTGGTTGGATCAACTATTTATTGTAGTCTCAGCTGATACAAGCCAATGAATGGGGACTTTGGAATTTGATATCATGGAAACAAGGGCCTTGATATCAAGAATTTGGATTATTGGGTAGTGAATTACAATTTTGGCATGTTCTATGTAATTTTTGTCAGATGCGTACAAAATTAATGTGTTTTACTATTTACTTACCGCATTATGTCATTAAGGTCCCAAGCTTATATTGAAGGAAAATGTTATACTTGCCCAAAAGGAAATGTTAGAAAGAAAGTAAAATTGATGATTATATTGAAGGAAAATGCTATACTTACTGTATTATGTCATTAAGGTTCCAAGTTTAAAATTCTCAGCCTATTGTTGAAAAAATAATACGCTTATTTATTGAAATATCCTTTGGGGTTTCGAAATTGTCTCAAGTTGCCCCTCTGAAATTTATAATGACTCAACATACCCCCTAAACTTCCACTATGTGACCAAGGTTGCCCAATTTCGTTAGTTTTTAGATAAAAATTGTGAAATCCACTTGGTATGGGTATTTTGGAAATTTTAACTATTAAATATTAAAAATGCTTGAAATTATTCAAAATCCAATAGTAAAATAATTAAATAACATAAAAATTAAAAAACAAAAATGAATTAACACAGCCCCCAAGTTCTGCATCATCTTCTTCGGCTCCATCGTAAAACCACCCTAATGTACACCCTAACCACATCAGCAGCCTCCCACCCATAACCACCAAACTGATCTTCCCACGCAAACCCAGTCGCTGAATTTCAATTCTAATCTCTAGCTGTCTTAACCCAACACTTACCCCTGTCATGCGAGGTCCAGTCGCCCCACCCTCTATCAAAACCCCAACCTAGCCACAGCTCCCCTACGAGATCCATTCAACCAAGGTGGAGCAGCTTGGTTGGGAGGCTGGAATGTGGAGTGGCGTTGTGGTTATGGAGTGGGGGGAAGAGAGAGACGTGCAAAGACGGTTCTGAAAAAGGAGAAATTATAGAATGGTACAGTATCACCACGTCAGCTGGTGATACTTCCATTCAAAATTCGCCACATGTATTATTTTTTGACAACTGGATTCAACACTCATATTTACTTTTAAAATAAAATTAAAATTATTTTTTAAAAACTTTAAAACTAAAAAAAAAACCCAAAAACCACCCGCTTCATCGACAGTGATCCCTCACCACTGTCTTTCCTAAACCCTCATTCTCTGTGTGAATTTGATGACACGCCAACACATGGATGATTCCACTTTCACAATCATTTGGAAAAAAAAAATTGATTCGGCTATTGATACATATAAAGCTATGCAACCAAGATTGGATTCCTATTCACCTATAAAATTTGCTTTTCTTGTCGATAATCTCAATGGCCATATACCCTGTAGGACTTTGGAAGCTTATCTAAATTCCTTGAACCCTAAAGCCATCATAGAGAGAAAATTCCATGAACCTTAAATCCATAATAGAGAGGAGGGATGGAGAGGGAGAAAGAGAGAGAGAGATTGGAAAAATGAAAGAACGACAGGAGCCATGGCAGAAAGTGGGCAGTCGGCGAGCTCAGGGAAGTGGTTGTTGGGAATTTTTATTATTAATGAGTTTTTTTTTATGGTTTTAAATTATAAAATTAGATTTTTAAATCCAGCTGTATAAATAAATAATTTTTCTTTAAAAAATAATACATATGGCGCATTTTGAATGGAAGTATCACTAGATGACGTGGTGATACCGTATCATTCTATAATTTCTCCTGAAAAAGAGGTAAAGGAGGAAAAAAGGGGAGTGTTAAGGATTGTGGGCCCATTTTTATTTTCATTTTTTAATTCTCATATAAAATTGAACAGAGGTTAACCATAGGACATGTGTTATCTTTTAAGGATAGTTATGAGCATACACCTTTGGTTAATTTTTTTTTTAATACCGTTAATGTGGTGAGCAAAAATGCTCTCATTACAAGTTAGTATCTAAACTAAAGTAGGGATGGCAATGGGCCGGCTAGGGGTTGGGTATGACAATACCATTCCCGACCCCGCTCCCCATCTTTGGCCTCGTCCTCGCCCCCATCCCCAGTATGAAATTTCGAGGAATCCATGTCCTCGTCAGGGGATTATATCCCAAATCCGGCCCGAATCCCCAATTATATATTTAAAACAATATAAAAACTATCCATCCATATTACACTTCAATTTCACCTTAAACTATCATTAACTCAATTAAATTAAATTGAACTATAAAATTTCACTCAACTTCTCAAATTCATCTCAATTCAATTTGACAAAAATAATAAAATCATATAATTTTCTTTGAGAAAATGGGATAAAAATTAATGGAAATAATACAACACATTGTTTTCATTGACAATTCATCATCAAGATGAATGTCCTCACTCAATGGAAAACGAAAAAAACTTGCGCAAGAAAAGGATATGTGGTTGTACATACAGCTGCTGTATAGCGGCCATGCCACTTTAACTTTAATAGACTAATTTAACTTAATATTATTTAATTAGTTATTTATACATTAAAAGTTTTTAATTGTTATATTATATTATGTTATATCTATTTGTTAATTAAAAATAAATACATTATTTATTAGGTCGGGTTTGGGCATGGGGATAACAATATCATCCCTGGTCCGTCTCCGATCGAGTATTTTTTTAAAATATGGGATTTTCATACTCGCCTCCGTTTTCCCCTGAAATCTTCCCCCGTTAGGCATGAGACCCGATGGGGACTCGACCCGATGGAGATTTTTGCCATCTCTAAGCTAAAGTGACTAGTTAACTATTAATATACTGATACTTCTCAAGATTTTATTAGAGGATATCCTAAATTTGGACTTCATCATTCCAAACAGAAAGAAATAAGAAACACAAGAGATGAAGTGCCCAGGTAACTTTTTAACATCACCTTATTACACTATCTTCCTATCTCAATATCCATTTGCAAAATCTTCCCCTATATAGGGCTCTTTATAGCGTGGACTGATTTTGACTATTGTTATTTTCATCCCACTTGTCATTCATTTGAGGATAAAATCTAGTTCTATTATGTCATCCAAACTTATATCTTACAAGCTCTTACTTTCTTCTTTGTCACTGATCACAAGGTATAATTTTCTTTTTATATTTAATCACATTATTTAATGACAAGTTTCGTTCTTTTCAACTTAATTTTTTGCTTAGTGTGAGTATTGCTGTGAGAACTATGCCACCATTTGATTCATATTTTGAGGTTGGGTGATATGTTGTGCATAAAAAATTGTGATAGTATGATGAAAGATTGCAATGTATTGCTTAAGTTTCACTAGCTAGGCAAGTGCCACTCAAACATCCATTTTCTTATCTCTTATCCAAAAACATTTAGTCGAAGAAATTGAACGATACAAGAGACGAGAGCCAATAAATCTACGGATTAGTGAGTTTAGATGGTTGTAGAGTGGTGAGAGGATAAAGTATAGGATTACTTCATATTTCTTCGTACTCCAGTCATTCAAAGTCTTTTTGCAGAAGGGTAAACTTGTCATTAAATGAGTGAGTGGGAAAATATGACATATTGGTGGAATAACAACACTCCTCATCTTTGGGCAAGTCTTTTTTCTCCCAATTGCTAAGCTTGTTTTTTCTTGTTCCAACCATTATGAATAACAGTCATCATGATTAATCAAATTATTTATCCAATACTCTAAATGATTTATAATATTGAATTATCTTCATATATAAAAATGAAAATACTAATCACTGAGCACATTAATCCTTCTCTCCTTTGCTAACCCAAGGGTAGCAGATATGCTAAAGTATATGATTATAGCTACTATAACTTAGACAATAGGTATAGGAGGGCTGAGTTGGAACAACTGGGTGAGATCATTGTCTGCAGGCAAATTGAGAGGTGGCAGAGAATACTGGCTGTAAGTGGAGCTGCCTCTTCTAATCTCTTGCATGGTCAGCAGAGCTGCAACTGTGTTCCTAAATATTCCTTCTCCAGCAACTGTTATGGCTTCTTTCACTTCTCTTTTTCTCTCTTCTTCTTCTTCCTCCACTGGGAACACTGCATCTATGGTGTTTTCACATTCCTTGACAAGCTTTGAGATGTTGTCAGTTGTAAAAAAGGGCTGCTCCAGAATTTTTTGAATGAATGGTAAGCGCAGTAGAGCACCTGTTCTCTTGTCATACTTCTTCAATATTTTAGCCAATCCTACAAAACTCAAAAGACAGTGTAAGCGTGTATCCAATCATGAAGGTAAAATTTTTCATTCCACTATGGCTTTACAAGGACTGGTTTTAACTGAAGTTCCATTCATGATTCATCCAAAATATATATATACAACCTGTGAACGGTAAATGTTAATCACGTTATGCCTTGACATGGCAACGATTCTGAACCGCCGTTAATTGGTGTAGAGAGACTTTTATCTACAACGCGAATTGTGCTACGAACAGTCACCCATGCGTATGTGGGCGACTGCCTGTAGCTATAACATCCCTTTTTACAACACTCAGATGCCATGTCATCGTGTTGATTCAACGAGTCAACAATAAAAAGACATGTGAACATTATTGGTAGGACCCATTCAAATTTGAATTCAAAGTTCTGTAGGACCACATGACAGAAATGATATTGGTCCCACCAATACTTTCTTGTGAGTATCTATTACGGTCCACATCAATCAACGTCTAGCCAGTTATTCATAAACGAGTACAATGCTACTATTTCGTTAAGTAGAAAAGTCTAAACTTAATCAAAGTTTAAAATTGACGAAATGAAAATGATAGGAACTGGATTGTAACTTCTTCAAGGTTTGCTGTATAAGTATTGGAGAATGAGGAGCTAATTAGCTTCATCAGCCATGGACTACCTGTGTAATTGATATTGCTGTAGTTCACCAAGAGCACCATTTCGCCGTGGAAATCAACAATGTCTTTCCTAACTTTTCCCACTTCTTCTTCATATATAGCCTTTGAAGGCTGGCTTCCATTCGAACCCCATCTATCAATCACCTTTTGAATTCTCTGCTGTAATTCCTACACATATATCCTGCACTTAGTTTTTTATTACAATAAATACTCTTCTTCTAGGATAAAATAAATAAATAAAAAACTATTCAAAAACTTCCATCCAAAATTGTAACTAATACTTTTAGCTTCTAGCAACTCAAATTGAACATTATATTAATTTTTTTCTTCACACACATGATGATGTCCATGAAACTAAAATGAAGTGCTAATAACACTTGCCATAAAAGATATTTCGACTCTATACTAATAAGTCATTTTCAACCCTTTTCCATGAGTTGGACCCATAATGTAGTGGAACTAAAGTGATAGGTTTTTTGTAGGACCCATAAGAGCTTCTTGATCATTTTGTGTCACGTTTATAAAAAAATTCTTACATTCTAATTTAAAAAAAAAAAAATATGTGTTATATTTACTCATTACATTGTTGGTCATGCTCACGCCATTTATAGACATGTAATTTGCAAGTAGATGAATCTTTATATTTATAAAGAATTTAAGAAAGAATGTCATTAGTAAATGCATAAATAATTACCAATTTTCCTTTATAAAAAATGAAAATAAAAAGTAATCATCTTTCTTGGAGACATGTTTGTTTCCAACATTCTAAGGACAGGATAATTAAGATAAAATTCTTAATTGAGAATTTAATTGCTTCTGGATGTTAACTTAAGACACTTGGGATTAATTTTAAAACAACGTTCATAGTGGGACCCAGATTTTTAATTTATCTTAAACTTTGATCTTAGCAGCCTTGTGGTAGCCGGCAATAGTCCCACCTTTAACCGAGTTATCCTGACACAGTCCATACCGAGTCAACTCTACTGAGTCAACCAAAACCAGGCAAACAAAGTAATGTTGGTCTCTCACTCAGACTAACCATGTATGCATTAAAACTGTACATAGCAGATCTCACTAAAACCCTGTTTGGAGACAGCAGAAAAACTATAACACAATCAAGAACAAAAGCATACCTTATTCCGGATAATGAAATCCTCCTCCTGCTCCACAAAGAAAGCATTGAACTTGTCAATCTCATTGTTCAAGAGATACACAAACTCAGCCTCAGCCTTGCCATACTCCAATGATCCATTCAACAACATGGGCGCTGCAGAAGCAATCAGCTTCACAATCTTCTTCAAATGCTTATACGACAAGAACTTATCGCGCCAACCGGGCAAAGTCCCCTGCATTTGCTGCTTCAATCTCTTCCCAAACTTCATTGAAAACTTGGTCTTGTTACAAAATTTAGTTGTTTTTTCAGACCCAAAAAACCAAAAACCAGAAGATTTTTTTTCTTTTGAGAGTGTAAAAGAGTGAAGGGTTTGGTAGTGGGTAGGAGGAGAATTGGGAAGGTTTTTATGGGGAGGAAGGTTGGTAGAATATTAGGGAGCATATACTTGGCGTGATGAAGTGGCTGTTGGAAAAAGGTATAAATGAGTCGTCTAAGTAAAAGAATTCTTGAGCATATTCGGTTTACTGTGTTTGGTCATAGTTATGATGTGTTATTATTTATATTGACTCACTCTATTATTTATTTTATATGATGGTATTGTGCCAAATAATATGCCAGATTATTGCAGCAACTAGGTCATCAAACCAAGGAGGATGCACTACAATGCATGTGATTGGTGCCCTAGAGCTTGTCAAGTGGGGTCCATTTTATAGTTGTAGATTTCTTATTGGCGCCGTATGCTTTTCGAAAGTGGGTCCAAGTTATTGATCGTAGGGTTTGAGATGAGACTAGCTGTCACTTCAGAATTGTTTAGGTCTTAACACCAACAAAAGAAAAACAGTGGTGTGGGGGAGAAGGGTTTTGAGGAGAGGATGATTCTTGGGAATCTTCCGAGGATCAAGTATGGAAAAGGAAATAGGGACTATTCTAGTAGTGTGACTTTCGAGAAAGTATGGCAAAGAGACCAAAGAAAGGAATATGTTGCTGACCTTGGCAAGTTTGTGGTGAGATAGCATGACTAACCTCTATGTAAAGTTGATTTCTTCTATACCAACCAAGAGTGTAGCTCACAAACGTGGCTATGGTTTGGGGCTAGTGATGCAGGAGCATCCCAAGCCAAACTAGGGAAGCCCAAGAGATCAGTTAAACCTCCTAATTACCTTAAAGATTATATCCCAAAATAAATTAAGAGACCTTTCCTACTGCTGATTGACTTCCTTTTATGTTTTCCTTCTGTTTTGGGTTTCTTTATTGTACTAGAATTATAATTCCTTATATTCCTAGGATTTAGTTGTTATTTAAACCTTTCTCTTGTAGACCATTTGGGCAGATTGGATTAGTGAATTTATTGAGAAAACGCAGCTAAGTTTAGCCGCAAATTGTGAGTGCTCGTTCTATATTTCTAGTGTTGGTGTAGTTTCGTTGGAGGTTCGTGTTTGAGATACCATCTCCCCATCAATTTGGTATCAGCGCTTTGGTTCTTGTGGGTGGAGAGAAACCTTCATGGCTCATCATAGGCGTGGTCGGGGTGGTGTCCGAATGGAGGGCCGTAACTCTACAGACGACATGGATGAAATTAAAAGAATGATTCAACAACTCACTGATCGTGTCGCTCGCATCGAGACTCAAAGCCATGGTGGTGAGAGTTCCGACGGGGAGGGAGACGAAAATCCCTTTTACAACAACATGCCGATGGAAGGTGTGCAAAGGGGACGGGATCATTATGGTCGAAATTTCGACATGAAAGTAGATTTACCTGAGTTCGAGGGAAAGATGCAACCTGATGACTTTGTTGATTGGCTCAATACTGTTGAGCGTATATTTGACTACAAAGAGGTGCCGGACGAGAAGAAAGTTAAGATCGTAGCCATTAAATTGAAGAGGAATGCCTCTGCATGGTGGGAGCAGCTAAAGACTCGGCGTGATCGTACCGGAAAATCCAAAATTAAAAGCTGGGAGAAAATGAAGAAAGAGCTAAGGAGAAAATTTTTGCCAGAAAACTACCTTCAAGCAAACTTCCTGAAACTTCATAATGTGCGACAGGGAAATCGGACTATTGAGGAATATACTGAAGAATTCGATCTCTTAACCATGAGGTGTGGACTCGTCGAAGAAGAAGAACACACAGTTGCACGTTATCTTGGAGGGATGCGTAGAGAACTTCATGATGTGGTGGTCTTACAGCAATACTGGAGTTATGATGATGTCTTCAAGTTAGCCATACAAGTAGAGAAACAGATGAAGACACGGTCACGGCGTGTTGGAATAGAGGGTTCTGAGCACAAAAATTCTTGGATGACTAAAGGCTCATCAAATTCTGAGCCAGGGAAGCATGAAGCACCTAAGACCAATGCACCAGAGAAGTTTACTGCCAGCAAACCAAAAGGGATCAAGTGTTTCAAATGTTCTGGCATAGGACATATTGCTTCTGAATGTCCTAACCGAAAAATTGTAAGTTTGGTTGAGGAATTGGGCGAATCTAGTGGTATGTCAAAAGATATGCTACCTATATTTGATAATTATGGGGACAATGAAGAAGAAGAGATCACATGGAGTGACCATGGAGAGTCCTTGGTGATTCGAAGGATAATGAATGCTGCCAAGGTGGAGGAGACCTCAGATTGGCTTCGGAATAATATATTCCATACCAAGTGTACCTCTCATGGAAAGGTATGTAGTGTTATTATTGATAGTGGTAGTTGTGAAAACATTGTTTCACAGGAGATGGTTGATAAACTGAATTTGAAGACTGAAAAGAAGCCAGTCTCGTACAAGCTGTCTTGGGTCAAAAAAGGGAATGAAGTCGTGGTGAATCAACGCTGCCTAGTGACATTCTCCATTGGGCAAAAGTATCAGGATTCTCAATGGTGTGATGTAATTCCAATGGATGCGTGCCACATACTATTGGGGAGACCTTGGCAATTTGATCGCCAGGCCACACATGACGGATACAAAAATACATATACCTTCATCAAAGATGGTACGAAGGTTATTTTAGGCCCCTCCCAATCCGAATTTAATGTCAAATCCACGAAAATTGGTGCTGGAAGCTTTCTAACCAAAGGAGAATTCCTAAAAGAAGCGGAGGAGAGTGGCGATATGTACATGTTGATGGTGAAAGAGTCAAATCCAGATGTTCTTAATTTTCCTAAAGAATTAACACCTCTCTTGCAGGAATTCAATGATGTTATTCCTGAAGAATTACCCGCGGGGCTACCTCCTATGCGAGATATCCAGCATTGCATAGATTTGATTCCAGGTTCAACTCTCCCAAATAAAGCTCATTATCGGATGAGCCCATTAGAGTACGAGGAGCTAAATAGGCAAGTGACAGAATTGTTGAAGAAAGGGGTTATCCGAGAGAGCATGAGCCCGTGTGCAGTACCTGCATTGCTTGCACCCAAAAAAGATGGGACTTGGCGTATGTGCGTCGACAGTCGGGCAATAAATAAGATCACCGTGAAGTACAGATTTCCAATTCCTCGTCTCGATGATATGTTGGATCACTTGTCGGGAGCAAAAATATTTTCGAAAATAGACTTAAGGAGTGGATACCACCAAATACGAATGAGGCCCGGTGACGAATGGAAGACAGCCTTTAAAACTCGGGATGGCTTATTTGAATGGTTGGTGATGCCATTCGGATTGACAAATGCTCCCAGCACATTTATGAGACTCATGAACCAGGTATTTCGTCCTTTTATTGGAAAGTTTGTAGTTGTTTACTTTGACGATATTCTGGTTTATAGTCATAATGTTGTTCAACACATGGAGCACTTGAGACAAATCTTTGAAGTTTTACGGGAGCAGCAACTCTTTGCCAATTTGAAGAAGTGTGAATTTTTGACAGATAGCTTAATTTTTCTTGGGTATGTGATATCATCAGAAGGTATTAAAATGGATACAAAAAAAATTGAAGCAATACAAGAGTGGCCTATACCACAATCTGTCCATGAGGTGCGAAGTTTCCATGGCTTAGCTTCATTCTACAGAAGATTTATCAGAAATTTCAGCTCCATTATGGCGCCCTTGACTGATTGTATGAAGCATAATATTTTCAAATGGACTGAAACTGCAGAGAAGAGCTTTCAAGCCATAAAGAAAGCTATGACTGAAGCACCATTATTAATTCTACCAGATTACCAAAAGGTTTTTGAGGTAGATTGTGATGCATCCAAAGTTGGGATTGGAGCTGTTCTTAGCCAGGAGGGGAGACCAGTTGCCTTCTTTAGTGAAAAACTCAATGACACTAGACAACGCTACTCTACTTATGATATTGAGTTTTATGCCATTATGCAATCTCTTAGACAATGGAGGCAATATCTGATTTACAAGGAATTTATCCTTTACTCTGATCATGAAGCATTGAGATTTATCAATGGGCAACACAAACTGAATCGGAGACATGCCAGATGGGTGGAAGAATTGCAGGAGTACAATTTTGTGATTAAACACAAGGCTGGAATCCACAATAAAGTAGCAGATGCTTTAAGTCGCAAGGTGGCCTTATTATCTGTCATGCAAGTTAGAGTGGAGGGCTTTGAGCAATTGCAGGAGTTATATAAAGGAGACAAAGAATTTGGTGAAATCTGGTCCGAATGTGTGCAAAATAATTCAGTACAAGATTACCATATTCAAGATGGATATTTATTCAAGGGGAGCAAATTATGCATTCCTGATTGTTCTTTACGGTTATGGATAATTGAGGAGCAACATGGGGGAGGCCTTGGAGGACACTTTGGGCGAGACAAAACAATTGATCTTGTTGAGAACAAATTTCATTGGCCCAAGTTGCGAAGAGATGTGGAGAGATACGTACAAAGATGTAGGACTTGCCACGTGGCCAAGAGTCGTAGTCAGAACACGGGGCTTTATACTCCTTTGCCAGAGCCACGAGCACCGTGGGAAGACATTAGCATGGATTTCGTTGTTGGCCTTCCGAAGACAAAACAAGGATTTGATTCAGTCATGGTAGTTGTTGATCGCTTTTCGAAGATGGCCCATTTCGTTCCTTGTAAAACAACCATGGATGCTAGCAATATTGCCCATATTTATTTTCAGGAGATTGTCAAATTGCATGGGATTCCCACTACAATTACATCAGATAGAGACACCAAGTTTGTGGGACATTTTTGGAGGACTTTGTGGCGTAAGATGGGGACTCGGCTCCAATTTAGCAGTGCACACCATCCCCAAACGGATGGTCAGACAGAGGTTGTCAATAGGACCCTTGGTAACTTATTGAGGTCTTTGGTTAGTAGCAATAAAACGGGCTGGAGTGATGTTCTACCGCAGGCAGAATTTGCATATAACCAGTCAAAAAATAGAACCATTGGAATGAGCCCATTTGAAGCTGTCTATGGTCGCAACCCTTCTAGTCCAATTGACTTAATTCCTTTGCCGGTAGAGAATCGTTTTAGTGGGGATGCCAATGACATGGTTGATCATATCAAGAAGGTCCATGAACGTGTTAGCCTTCGACTTAAAGAGAGCAACACCAAGTATAAAGAAAGTGCTGATAAACATAGGCGTTACAAGGAGTTCCAAGAAGGGGATTTAGTGTGGATCAACTTAAGAAAGGAGAGATTCCCTCGTGGAAAATATGGTAAATTGCATGATAGAGGTGGTGGACCATACAAAATATTGAAAAGGGCTGGTCAAAATGCTTATGTGCTTGAGTTGCCGAATGACATTGGTGTCTCGCCTGCATTCAACGTCGCTGACTTACAAGCTTACTATGGTGAGAATGAAACTCCAGATTTTGACTCGAGGTCGAGTCCTTTCCAACCCGAGGAGTCTGATGCAGGAGCATCCCAAGCCAAACTAGGGAAGCCCAAGAGATCAGTTAAACCTCCTAATTACCTTAAAGATTATATCCCAAAATAAATTAAGAGACCTTTCCTACTGCTGATTGACTTCCTTTTATGTTTTCCTTCTGTTTTGGGTTTCTTTATTGTACTAGAATTATAATTCCTTATATTCCTAGGATTTAGTTGTTATTTAAACCTTTCTCTTGTAGACCATTTGGGCAGATTGGATTAGTGAATTTATTGAGAAAACGCAGCTAAGTTTAGCCGCAAATTGTGAGTGCTCGTTCTATATTTCTAGTGTTGGTGTAGTTTCGTTGGAGGTTCGTGTTTGAGATACCATCTCCCCATCAGCTAGGGTCACAAGGTTTGAGCCTCGTTCAGGCTAAGGTCTAATGATTTAGACTCGAGAATTGAGTCCGATACCTAGTGTTGGAGACTCTGTGTTTGAGGTCCAAACTCAAATGTTCGGGTTTCACGCTTGGAGCATGATACTGAAGCTCCATACTCAAAATGAAAACTAGATGCCACTAGATATTCTTCAACAAAATGAGATATAACAGTTGTTGTTAACGTATGAAGTGTAGGATGAAAATATTTTTTGCAAATTACATAGTCTTCCATCATACTTTAAAATTTTGAGATGTGCATGAAAATACACTAACTCATACAAATACCAACGATAATCCCTAATTTTTTTGTCCATCAGTGAAGCCATGCCAATACTAACGAAATCCCAAATTCAAAAGCCTAGCTAGGCCATTTTGCCCTAATCTTCAATCTCATCAATGCCATCATCTTTGATTTATCTTCTCATGTGAACAATTTTGTGCAATTTCTCCTTAGAGTATTTTAAGATGGATAAATTAGGTTGAAATTTTGGTTTAAGGTTTTCCTTAATTTTGTATATTTGAATGGCTTTCTTCATGACATGAGGTGGACTGAGTTATTTATCATATATTTTACAAATGTTCAATATTATATAATCAATTAGCTCCTGGTTTAGTGGTATTTTTCTTCTCAATATTGAAAGAGCTCTCAAGTTCGAAACTCCAAAACCTCTACTGATTAAAAAAAACAAAAACAATTTTTACCCTTTTTAGGAACATAAAAGTTGTTTGTCGGTAACAAAATTCACAAAAACGTAATTTGGATGAACTTCATTGATAAACTAATGCGGAATATGACTTAAAGTGTAAGTGAAAAAACGTAATTTGACCCAAAAATTTCATTCGAAATAGAAATTGTTTTTGGTTAAAAAAAAAAAAAGAAGAAATTTTTAGTGTATGATTAATGATCGTAAACTTAAAGAGTGCTAAAAATAGCTTTTCAATTTTATTTTTTTGGAGAAAACAAAATTAGGCTTCCGGGGATTGGTGATTGACAGTTGACAGTTTACGCACCGGAAAAGTCTACCATCTGTCTACCTGAGAACTCAAATTCGTTTCGGACCCCCGAAACCCGCATGTCACAACCCGAAATTCCCTCCCAATTTCTCTCGCCATTTTCATCTCTCTCTGAACAAAAAAAACATGTCGAATCGAAACCCTAAATCCCCTTACGATTCGCTCATGACTCAGGACCAACTCATTGACTCGCTCACCTCCCACATCTCTCTCTACCATTCTCACTCCAATACTTCAGACCTCAAACCAAACCCTAACCCTAGGTCTGCAATTCTCAAATGGTTCTCATCTCTAACCGTCCACCAGCGCCAAGCTCACCTCACCGCAGTGGATTCGAAGTTCGTACGGATCCTCATCCAAATGCTCGGCAAGCTTCGCACCAATAGCCATGGCTTCTTCATCATCCTCCCTGACCTCCCCTCAGGTGACCTCCCCACCCTCTGTTTTAAAAGGTCGAGTGGGCTTCTGTCTCGGGTTTCCGAGTCGAACGAGCTGGAGAGGAGGATATTCGAGTCGACTCGGTTGTTTGCGTCGAGAGAAGGAGAGAAGATTGAGGAATGCTCGTGTTCAGTGAAGGATCTCGATACAGTGTCGGTGAGCGAGGGTTTGGTTGAGAATGTGGATAGGTTTGTGGCGGTGATGGATGAAATATCAAATGGGGGCTTCTTGAGAGGTGAAGAGAGTGACTTGGGATTGGATTGGGTCGAATTCAAGTGGTTGAAGGACAAAGGGTATTACAGTATGGAAGCATTTGTGGCAAACCGGCTGGAGGTGGCTTTGAGGCTGGCGTGGCTGGGTTGTAGTAATGGGAAGAAAAGAGGGGTGAAGCTGAAAGAGAAGATGAGTGCTGCAGGCTTGGCGGCCAATGTGTATTGGCGGAAGAAAGGGTGTGTGGACTCGTGGGGAAATTTGGATTCAGCAACAAGGAGGAATGTATTGACTTCAGTGTTGGGAAAATCAGCGAAACCTTTGGTACATTTTCAAACTTTAAGTTTTATAGTATTAACTTTTTTTTGGACGATATTGTGTAAAAAAATGTAATAGATTCTGAATGATTGTGTTGATAGATTAGGTTTGAGTTATTGTGTTAACAAATTGGTAATAAAGAAAGGTTTAAAAAGATTGATGCATTAATATCCATAAACTGAAGTTCTCAAAATGGAAAATCTTTATACTGCAGGTCACATTCCGGTGTTTGATTTTTCAGATATTTTTGTTATTTTAGCTTGACGTAGTTCATTTTAAATTTAGATTCTTGAGATTCTGAAGGGGACAAGTAGTGAGGTGGGGGATGAAATGTGGCTCTTCAATACAGGAGTAGAACAGCCATTGAGGTACAACCATAATGTATCTACGCGAAAGACTGTTCCAAAACTTATGGCTGACACTGAATTTGGGTCAAGCATTATCCCTGCTTCTCTTTCTGGGGAATCTGCTTCCTTAGTCAGTGCCTTTAATAATCTCGTTTTGCTTCAGGATATAGTAATGATGATATCCTTATGTTGCCATAGTGAATATGATAAAGGGAAACTCTTCTATAGCACGTTGAGTTCAATTTCTACCATTTCTGATTTTATACTAAGAAAAGTACGTGGATTTCTTATGGTTATTTTGCTTGACTGCACAAAACTGGAACTTTTAGCAGAGGGTGACAAATCCTTACCTAAGAAATCAAAGGCAAAGCCTAGTGCTTGTAGCCGAAAAAGTAAGGGAAGGACCCGCAATATGAAAAGGCCAAATTCTGGTCCTAGGCCATGCACAGATGATTTTTTGTGTGAAAAGTCTCTCAAGGTACTCTTTTAGTTCGCTGATGTTCTTTTGGATGCACCACACATTTTGTGGATAGTTTTAATTGCTTCAGTGTTATGCCAGGATCTTAATTGTACATTGGCTCATAAAGAGAAGGCGGATTCGGTGGAGTCCAAGAAGATGCATGGAATACATCAGGAGACCAAGACTTTCAAAGAGGCATCATCATCGAAAGATGAAATGGTTATTCTAGTTTTTTAAATTTGGATCACATTTCTCATTGATGATTTGAATGGTTTGTAACTGGTAGCTTGTCATCAGGATCATGCACAAGCACTGTTTGTTGCAAAAGCTCATACTGCTGCAAGGAAGGGTAGGAAAGATAAAGGAAAAAACAAAATAACTGGTTGTAAGAATGCCGTTGATGTGAGAAAATCTGAAAGATCACTCATGGAAGCGATTTCTTCCTCTGTCATTCCTGAAGATTACACTGCAAAGTGCGATCCCATTTCTGATGATTCAGCCTTCCAGAACATCGCAGATTGTTCAGCTAGTTGTAACATCCTTGTGACAAATTCGATTCTTCCTGATTCTGCAAATGGGCCGACTAAGGATGAGGATGCCATGCAAAGCATTCAAGAGAATTATATTATTGGATCTAGCGCAAGTTTCTGTCGTAGGGTTTCAGAAGATTACCAGTCATCAGACAATATTACTGAAATTCAAATTAAATCTACCGGATCAGAAACTGGAAATTGTGAAATAGTTGGAAATGTAATACCTTCTGTGCCTGTGGTGGATGATAATGCTTTTAGCCATAAGGATATTGACTTTCAGAACACACATGTTGGTAAATCTGCTGTAAAAGACATCTCGCCAGACAAAGCAATAAGAGCTGCTGATATAAAAAAGGAAGCTATTCTGTTTCAGGACCAAGAGCATGGAAATCCTATATGTGATACTGGAGCTTCAAGTTCTTTCGAATGCCTTCCATATGAGTGGCCTGGTGTAGCTTGTGCCTATTTTCCACCTGTCAACTCACATCTCCCACCTGCCACTGACCGATTGCATCTGGATGTTGGTCATAACTGGCAGAATCACTTTCGCCAGTCTTTTCTACCCTCGATACATCAGGCGAGAAGTTCTCCAATTCAAGGTGGGTGTAATCCAGTTCTGACTCGACCATTGCCAATGAGTTTAGATTGGCCTCCAATGGTTCGAAGTGCTCGCGGATTGGCTCTGTCCCGGACCTGTAATTATGATTCTGGATTCTTCTCAAAGAAGCAGTGTAGTTTTCCACAGGGTTTTTCCACCCACAGTGTCCAGATTAATACAACAATGGACAGCGAAAGGAGGTATTCTTGGGATTGCACAGACCTGCCTGATCCAATAAGGGCACATGAACTAGCAGATGAATATGACAGCCACTGGATATCAGAGGATGAAGTTGAGGTGCAAGCATTTTCTGGGGTAGACTATAATCAATACTTCGGTGGTGGTGTGATGTACTGGAATCCTTCTGACCATCCAGGGACAGTTTTCTCGCGCCCTCCTTCCCTTAGTTCTGATGATAGCTCATGGGCTTGGCGTGAAGCTGACATGAATAGGGCTGTCGATGATATGGTTGCATTTTCTTCTTCATATAGTACAAATGGTTTGACTTCACCTACTGCTTCTTTTTGTTCTCCTTTTGATCCTTTGGGATCAGGAAACCAAGCTCTTGGCTATGTTATGCCGGGGAATGAAGTACCAGGCAAGGTGCTACTTTCCTCATCAACAATGACAGACACAGCAGCAGATGAGGAATCGTCTGGATCTTTGGCTGATGTAAGTGGTGATGTCGAAGGGAAGACAGGAGATTCACTTCCTTATCCCATTTTGCGGCCAATCATCATTCCAAACATATCAAGAGAAAGGTCAAGAGAGTTTAAGCGTAGTTATGATCGTAAAAGCCCATGTGTTCCTCCTGCTAGGCGAGAGCAACCTCGGATAAAGCGGCCGCCATCACCCGTGGTGCTTTCTGTTCCACGCGCTCCCCGACCACCTCCGCCCTCTCCTGTGAGTGATGCCAGGAAACACAGGGGCTTTCCAACTGTTCGATCTGGTAGCTCCAGCCCAAGGCACTGGGGTATGAGAGGATGGTTCCATGATGGAGCTAACTTGGAGGAAGCTTGTTTGCGCATGGATGGTGCTGAAGTTGTTTGGCCATTAAGAAGTAATAATATTTCTGGCCGCCCATTGATTCAGCCTCTTCCTGCACCTTTGTTGCAGGATCGACTGATTGCTATTTCTCAACTAGCACGTGATCAGGAACATGTAAGCATCTATGTTATGAGCTTAAATTTGCGTTGATGTTTTGGAAGCCCTTTCATCAGATGGTATTTTCATTGTACAGCCAGATGTTGCATTGCCCCTACAACCGCCTGAGTTGCATAACTGTCCTATGAGGAAGGCGTCTCTTTCTTTGATGCACAGCCTTGTCCACGATGATATTGATTTTTTCTGCAAGCAGGTAGAATAGTTGATCAGTCATCATTGGTTTTATCCCTTCTTACTGTCATCACTAGCTTTTATTTTCAAGTTCTCCAATCAAAATGTTTGTCAAATATTTGTAGCCTTGACCCTCTTCCATTACATTCTACTGAATGTTTGATATGATGGATTGAAGGTTGCTGCAGAGAATATGGCTAGGAAGTCCTACATCAATTGGGCTGTCAAGCGGGTTACAAGGTCTCTCCAGGTGCTTTGGCCCAGGTCCAGGACAAACATATTTGGTTCAACTGCAACTGGTTTGTCACTTCCAACAAGTGATGTGGACCTCGTGGTTTGTCTGCCTCCTGTGAGGAACCTGGTAAAGACTTTATTGATCTAATCTCTCATTTACGTAGACAACTACTTTCACAGAAAAAAAACTTACGTGCAGATATGTTTGTAGGAACCCATTAAAGAAGCTGGGATATTGGAGGGCCGTAATGGTATTAAAGAAACATGCCTTCAGGTATGTTGTACATTACTATTGTAGTGGAAGACAGTTCATGTGATTCATTTTGTCTATTGGATGTCTGTGTACTGAAACTGATTGGTTTTCCAATAAATGAAGGAAATTGTGTTGTACACTAGCTTGTCACTGTTTCAAAGCAGTAGATGACCATTATTTTTCTTTACGAGCAGTTTATGGGCTTACAAGCTTAATGCGCATGTATGTACACTCAAAGAGGCTGCATAAACTTGGACACTTCACACTCTGTTCCTGTTGGAACATTTTGGATTTTGAATCCTATTTTGTTATTAAACTTTTTATCTAATTTACTTCCATGTTTTTTACATCTTATAATAGAACTTCACTATACCGGACCAGTTTTCCCGGATGCATCCCATGAACAAATAAACATTGTTTTGGTTATCTGATTTGTTCCCTCCTGTTTAGTTGTTACAGTGCCAATTGATACCTATAATTGTTTTTCCTGTTTCCTGGGTGACACTTATTTTGATGTTCCAGCATGCCGCCAGGTATCTCGTCAATCAGGACTGGGTAAAAAATGATTCGCTCAAGACTGTGGAAAATACAGCTGTAACTCCTGTTCTTTTAAACCTTTTGTTTTTACTTCTCTTTCATTTAAGCTTCTGTTGTTTTCATGGATTTTCTTACTGTTTCCTCTTTGGTCTTAGATACCTATAATAATGCTTGTGGTGGAAGTTCCCCGTGATCTCATTGCCTCTTCTGCCTCCAATGTCCAATCCCCAAAAGAAGAGCCACCTCACATGTCGGGTGAGCAAGGCAGTCATGTGAACTCTAGTGTGGTTGCTTTAGAAGAATCTGCACTGCCTAAATGTTCACAGATAAATTATGATGCTACAAAGGATTCAGTATCAGTTCGTATTGACATCAGTTTCAAATCTCCGTCTCATACTGGACTCCAGACTACAGAGCTGGTCTCTCTCTCTCTCTCTCTCTTGTGTGTGCGTGTGCATACATGTATTGCATTTTGTGTGTGAAATATAGCACTCTCTACTTCCATCTTCTGATATTATTTAACTAAAGATTTCTACAGAGGTTGGCTCAAGTATTCTCTCATGTTGCAAATTAACGAGATGTAATGCTGACGGCTTCTTGACTTATCATTAAAAATACTGATGTTGGACCTTTATTCAATAAGTTAGTTTGAAATGTTCCAAAGAGTGTCACCCAAACACACAATATCCCTCTCTCAAAGATATCTGCTGTCAGAATGCCAAGTCTTGCTGGACAACACCTAAGTGTTAATAAATTTCATTAGATTGTTGCATCTGTGCTAAAATGTGCCTTTATGTTTGTTGATACATAATTCCGGGGTAGTTTCTTGCAAATTGCTATTTGTTCGCAAATCCATGTCAATTGTGTGCTAGTGGGTTATATTATGCTTATTTGACTTTGTGGTTGGAGTCCCTTAGCATCCATTCTGTGCAGAGTCCTTTTGGATCTCAGGGAGGCCTTTTTATTTGTTATTTATTATTTATTTATTTTTAATCTCTTCTCTTGAGACATTTAATTATAGTTTAAAATTTTATTATTTGCATATGAGAATAAATTAAATGAAACTTTTGTGCCACTAAATATCTCTGTTATTCTTACCATTTTGGATAGTCTACAGTTTTCTTTTCTTTGTGATTTATCCCTTAGGTTTTTCTTTAATATATATTTTTAATATATTTTATTGAGGCGCTTCTGTTGGCATTTATAGATCAAGTTGAAGACTATTATATGTTTCATTCTTTATATCTTATTTTGCACTTTTGTTGACATTCATAGCTCATGTTGTAAACTATTATATGTTTCATTTATATTTTATTTATCTTTTATAAACTGTAGTTGGTCATTTGCAGGTTAAGGATCTAACAGAGCAGTTTCCAGCTGCTGCACCTCTTGCTTTGGTACTGAAACAGTTCTTGGCAGATCGTAGCCTGGATCAGTCTTACTCTGGTGGCTTGAGTTCCTATTGTTTGGTGAGTAATGCTACTTATTCCAAGGCTTAATATTAAAAAAATAATTTGATTTGAAGTTTTTGATTTCACCATGTTCCAGTTGGGACAGATGTTATGCGGAACGTTATGCGTTCTCAATGAATGTGCTTTAATACTTCTTTTTAGGCAGGCTGCTAGTAGAATTGAGATCTCTAATGCTTCCATAAGAAAGTATTGAAAATTTGATGCTTTAATCTGGCAGCATCCAGATCAAGGCCTAAATTATAATGCGTTATGAACGTATAGAAAGTGCAGTTTGATAACCAGTCATGACTAACTCAAGTATAGGAAGCATAAACATGACAAGAGTACTCAAGCAACACGTTGCATGTATTGGCTTGTCAGTTTTTCTTGACCCATGTCATTGCCTAACTTTTAAACATAATGCACGTAACAACCTACTGTCACATGCTGTTATTGACTGTTGGAGGAAGGTGGACAGTTGCGTTGGCTCCTCTTAACTATTGTGTTTTGTAACCAGTGATTCTACATAAATATATTTTAAATTTTGGAAGTTGGCTGCTTTCTGTACCTGGATTTTGTTTCTAGACATCTCTCTTGTAAAAGAAAAATGCAAATAATTCAGTATATCCTTTACAGTAAATAAGTTGTGTTTCTCACTCTTTTTGTTTCAGGTATTACTAATTATACGTTTTCTCCAGCACGAGTATCATCTTAGCCGACCTATCAACCAAGTAAATCTCGATTTTCAAGTCTAAATTTGCTTTGTTAGTATGTTTTGTTTTCCCTGGGATGATATATTCTACAAGTATTGTGGAGGACCTTTGAACACCATAGACATGCATCAAATTAATGTGTGACATTGATAATACCTTTGTTTTTTTTTCTTTTCCAATTGAATATCCAAGTAATGTGCATAGATTGAATGTTCCTCTCAGTACTGTTCATTATTGAAGTTCTGCGTGGTTGCATTTAATTGAGGGTCTCATTTTCCTTAAATCTCAAGAAAACCCAATTGTGTGCATCACTTAGTTAGAAATGGAGGTATCCTTTGCATTTTGTATAGATATTCAAATTTCATGCGGCTGGGTTAAGTTCAAATTTCTCATTCAATCTTGTTCTTTTTGCCCTTTTTTGTTTCTCAGTTTTGCTGATGATTATTACTAGATTGCTTTCACTTAACCACTACATTAATAATCTTGCAGAACTTTGGAAACCTTCTGATGAATTTTCTTTATTTTTTTGGGTAAGCCAACCACTAATAAGGATTTTTATTTCTTTTTCTAATGATATAGGAGTGCAAGTGCTTCTTGGAATTCACTTATCTATAAGGGAAAAATTGTTTAGCTTATTCTAATATGATTTAAATTACATAGTGATTGTTTGACGTTTGATCTCTATCTCTCTCTCTCTCTCTCTCTCTCTCTCTGCCCCCCCCCCCCCCCCCCCCTTTCCTTCGTTTCTTTCTTCTTCTATACTATCACCTTCTGTTTTTGTTATTCATGCATGACAGATGAATTTCTAAAATTTCATCCATTGCTTATATCTTGATATTCTACTCCATGTAGCATTGACCCAATACACATTGATGATCCTCTTTTCCCAACTAATAATGTGGGGCGCAATTGCTTCCGGATACATCAGTGTATCAAGGTAAGCTGTGTTCTTTTGGATTAGTTATCCTGATATTTTTCAGATATATTCAAGGCTTAAGTGATAACCTGGTGTTTGTCTTTAGCTAGCCGCTACATATGTCTGTTTCTTAATTTCAAGACTATCGTCGGATGATGCAGGCATTTTCAGAAGCATATTCTATTTTGGAGAATGAGCTTGCTTCTCTTCCCATTGATGATGGTGATTTATGTTCAAGGCCCTCATATAGACTGCTTTCTAAAATCATCCCGAGTATTGATCTATCATAGCGATGCTTATTGCATGGAAAGTTGTATGCCTTTGAAGGTAATCTTAGAGTTTGACTCTCTTTTTTTTGTTTCACTTTTTTTCTTTTGATTTTTCTCTTTTATTGTGGATGGTGGGTGTGAATTGACAATTTCAATCGGATTAGTCTTATGTTAATCTAGGGGAAATCTAAATCATTGATCAAGCTAAAGTGTTCTTTTGGTGCGAACCGGAGGTTGCAATATGGTAGGTATCTTTGGTTTTGATTCTCTCTCTCTCTAGACTCTCTTTGACCTAAATATTTGTGTACCAACATTTGCTATCATTTTGCTTAAATTTGAAGCTGTACCACCTCTTTGCTTTGAATGGTTACATCACAGATAAACCCTTGAAGATGCAAAATGACTTTCCTAGGTGATACAGAGGTTTTGGAACTTTATTGATGACTAAAATTTTAGTGGATCTAACAGAGGTGAAAAGTTTTGAAGTTCTAAGTGGAATTCGTTTAAAAATAGAAATTTTCAACAGTACAAAGATTATTGTTGCTTGGTTTTTAGTTTTGAAGGTGCACCATTTAGGCTTTAGAAAATGGTATTGCATCTTAAAATGGAGTTTTGTGTCAAGTTGTAGTGACCCTAACCTACTAATTCCAAGTTGGGCCCCTAATTTTGGGCACCTAGCATGATTAAGTTTTAGTTAATTATGTATGGGTAACCACGTAAGTTTACTTGATTTTGTGCTTTTTATATTGGAGGTTTTCTATAATGGTTGTTTCTGTTTTACTTAGTTTAGCAGCTTTCCCACACATGCAGTCTTTTCCCCTTTTGGTAATTGATTTCTTTTGGTTTATAGGAAATTTCTTATTTTTCTTGCTAAATTTCTCTATATATGTTTTTTAGTAAGATGGATCTGTAATTTTCACTGCAGATTGCCTTCCACACTTTTGATGCAGATACGAACTCTCCTTGTTACGGTTCTGCTACAGGGTTTGTCCAGAAAAAAGCAAGGTTCAGCGAACCACCAAATCACTATGAATTTTTGTATGCCTCCTATGCAGTTGTTTATCGGCTGTACTCTTGTGATTAAGGTATTCTTTAACCAAAATGTAACTAACTAATCTTCACTTTTTGCTTTATCAGTCACAGGTTAGGTGCAGCCATATTGTCGTTAAAGACTGGATTTTCACCTATCATGCAACTGTTCCAAGTTCATATTTGCCGAATTTGCTTGATGATCTTGACGTCATGTGATCGGTAGTTTCCTGAGATATATTTATACCCCGGAGTGGTGAGGATGGCCAATAAGGCTGATCTTGTGGAGGGGACCAGGAACAACCTGAAAACGGGCTCATATCCGATTCTCCAGGTCAGCCCTCAGGCTTGATTCTGCAGGTCACTACACTGAAAATGAACATTTGAGCTGAAAAAATCTTAAACCAATTGTACACATAGGTGTATAAATCTTATACCAATCGTACATATGTTTACGTCAAAGTCAGGTTGATATCATCTGACTAGCATAGATTTTGAGTACTTGTCAAAAATTAAACTGTAGATTGTGTGTAGCTTAGCTATTTACCTAGCACAAGATAGAGGTGGGTCAGTAGTTAGATGATTATACTTTGTGAAGTAACAGAAATGTATTGGGATTAGGATAAAAAAATTATTCAACTGTACTTTGTGTATGGCGATGTGCTTGAAATTTGTACACCACAAAGATTGTGGATGCATTTCGAGTTCAGTTGATAATTTTTTCTTATACGCGATAATTTTGGTGTCTTGAAACTGGAAATTGCTTTATTGAAACCTCCTTTCTTTTTTGATATCTTTTCATTTATTTATCCATCACGAATGGAAGTTCCTTCACTGAATTATGTTAATGGAATTTCTGATCCTTGGACAACCAAGGTGCCGCAAAATGTGGCTAGTTTTGTTGTTGTTGAGTACAAGCAATAGTCTAAACTATAAGTGTTGGCGGGGATATTTTCTCACACATTGCATTCTCACCTTTCTTCCTGCTTATCCCTTCTCATTTTAATAAAAAAAATACCCGCATGTTTTACCTTTATAAATTATATGCAATTACTTCTAGAAAGATTTAGAAAAACAAATAGGTGTTAAGAATGAAAAATTCTTATATAATGCGACATTTACAACAGGTGAAAGCCCCCGAGGGATTTCCATATTTGCATATTGCTCACTTAATGACCAACAAAAGAATGAAGGTAAGTGAAAAAGAAAGATTAATCGCAAATGGGATTGCAAAATCATTGCCTCTTCTCTCTTGTTTATGCTCCTCTTGAAAATGTGTTTCAAAGACTCGGGTTTAGTGTTAATAGTGAACGGTTAATCCTCGTAATCTTCAGGGTAAAAGTCAGTATCTTTAGGAGGGCCTCTTCGAAGTTTGTCCTGCAGATCCAAATTCTTGGGTACCACAAGCTCAGTGCCCTCACCTGACATGGAAAAATATCTCTCCAGCACCATCTGCAACCAGAAAAATAACAAAATATACTTCAATTTATATCCTGGATTGCTCCTCCTAAAAATAGGACAGAAAACTGCATTGCTCCCTTCTTATACATGCACCAAAGATGAACACACTTATAAAGCTTAAAACACTTAATAAGGCAACGTATAGCAGACATTATATTTTCTTGCATACCACGGCAGCGTAGGCGTCGATTTTGCTTTGCCGATCAGACTTGCCGAGGCCCCTGAAAAGAAACTTGATCTCAGGCAAAAAATGGGGAAACATCTTACATCGGGTGCAAAAATAAATTCACAGAAGGAAGCATAGAAAGAGGATGAAGCACAAGACTCCTAATCTGATGAACTAATACCTCTTCAGTTTTGCACATTTTCTGACCTAAAGGTTTTCACGCCTCACAGAGTTAAAAAGTCCGATTCACAAAGGACGCGAATTTATGGATAAATTTTGTTTGTTTTAATATCATAATGAGCTCATGTTGTGTTCAGTTTTGTTTCCATTCACATTCTAAATGCCATTTTACAGTTCAAACCAAGCAGAAGCTGCTCAAGAAACGAAAACATGCATTATGATAATCAATTCTTTAAACAAAACAAAAAGTATTCAATCATCGAAAAAGGTGATTTGATAGAAAGGATTACACGTTAATCATCCGATCCATGGCTTCTATGGACGTCCCGTTTTCATCCTGCAGGTATACCCTCCAACCCCTGCAATTAAAAACTCCGGTGAACATTGCACAATCTCAAGCAGACAAAAAAAACAAAACAAAACAAAAACAAAAAACACCAGAGTCCTCGTATTTTGAATGAAGCAAAGCATCCAAAACAAAGAGATTATATTATCATGCACAGTATATTTTCATTTCAAGCAAGCAAGCAAGCAAGCAAACCAAAAAGAAAAAAAGAAAAACAGATACATACATGTAATACTTGCATATCTACATTGCATTGTATAGATGACCAAATGCTTGATTTTATACCTCTGAGCAGCACTAACAGCAAGCCTCCCAGCAACGCTACGAACTTTGTTGGACTGAGGCGTCTCTTTCCCATCACTCGATTTCGGAAGTCCGACTATAAACTCATCTGCCTCCTACAATTTTTCTTCTTCATTTAATTATTTAATCCCATATTATTACCAAAAACAAAAGAAGAAGACTATAAGGACCTGCTGCTTTGCAATCTCAAGGAGTTGATCCTCAAGCTTCTGCCCTCTCAAATTCAACACCTAAACACAATGAAAAACGAAATTAAAAGATACCTTCAAAGAACAAAAAATGACTTGTTTTGAAATCAGGGGCATGAGGTTGGGGTTTAATTACGGTGAGAGGACGAAAGTTGAACCCTTTGCTGAGAGCGAGACCGGTACGTGACATTCCCAAATCTACCCCTACGCTAAACCCCCCTCTCCAGTTGGGGTCACGCTTCCGGCGGCGGGCATTTGGAGGAATTTCATCTGTGGAGATTGCACTTATTCGAGGGCCGTTTTTACGGTTTTTGGTGAGAGGGAGTTGAATGGAAGTGGGGGCATTTCGGACTTTGGGAACGGTGCCGATTGGGAAGGGAAGGAAGAGGTCGAAGAGGTCGGTTTGTGCCGGTAGAGCTGCCAGTCGCTGACAATACATTTTTTAGTGCTGGAGGGAGGGAGAGGGATAAGGAGAACGCAGCGTTTTAAACTTTTTCCAACTCTCCTATCAAAACGGCTCGTTTTGTTGGACCTGTCTGCCTTGAAGACGTTAAAAAATAAATAAATAATTTAATTTTTGTTTTTCAACATGACAATATTCTAATTTCTAACTATTCTAATGTACCAGAAAAACTTATATGAAACGGGGACAATATTATTTTGCTATCTTTGGTCAATCACGCTAAGCCAAGTGAAAAAGTTATCACACATGACATAGCATGATTGGTTGGGAAGAAAGATTGAACTCGAATGCAAGGAGGTGGGCACACCTATCTTGGCCAACTCCGCACATGCTAAAGTATACGCAATGTAAAAGATTAGTAGGTTATTATTGATATTTCTTTTCTCAATGTCGGAATATGATTTTGTATTTATATGATATGTCTTCTTCCCAGTGTCGGAATATGTTGAACAATGTTATAAAACTAAGTCCACACTACATCGTTACATTGGCAAACCAACCATGTAATGAAACCCTATGAAACAATGCCATACTAAAGAAAAAATAGTTGAAAGGAATATCATTGTCCGAAAAGAATGAAAGTCACTAAATTTGTTCTACCAAATAATGTTCCATTTCTTCAATTTAAACTCACTTAAACTGCAATATTTCATTTGTTTAACTTTCTAACTAGCTATTAACATATACACGGATACATCATCGGGGTAACGTAATCGACGAACATAAAAGACAACAAAGATAACTGATATGTTCCTGTTTTCATATCATATGCATAAAAAACTGTTGTTAGAAGATTTGCAAATAGTCCATGAGTTTGAAATAAAGAAAAAAAATCCAAATTTATATGAAAGCCAACCTTAGCAGACAAGTGGAAACGGGGAAAAAGGAAAAGAAATGGGAACTTTACTAGTCAGCATACATACATAACATACCCATAGGGCAAAACAGCAAAACGGCTAATCGATAGATGCTAATGAGATGTATATTCAGCAAAAAGGTAAAGACATGGGTAATTCTGAACGTCCCACTACCAAAACATGTGTTATACAAAAGAACATAACCATTTAGTTCAATGTAAAATAAAACTGTACCATGGCTGAAATGAGTGTATCTTATTCAGTCATTGAAGGGCCTAGCTTAGGACCTCACTTTGCTCGGTGGTTTCCCCAACAAATATGTAACTGCATCTATTCAGTTCGCTCTTCTTTCTTGGACTCTGGTTCCTGCATTTGGTTTTCAGCTTTTGGCTGAAAAATTGGATCTGAGGGGGCAGCTCCACACTCTTTATCTGATGCTGTCTGAGAAACTTGCTCGCTTGTGACTGGATTCTCTGCTGACGACACAACTGACGTACTTATAGGAACGCTTACCTCCTTTGCTTCAAACTCTGATGTTCTACTTATAGGAACGCTTACCTCCTTTGCTTCAAACTCTGACGTTCTACTTATAGGTAAGCTTACCTCCTTCGCTTCAAACTCTGATGTTCCATTCCCAGTGTTTGTTTCTGGGTTCCCAGCCGCTGCACATTGCAGCTGACGTTTGAGTTCCAAGATAACCGCATTTTGGCTCCCATCTTGACACATCGCTTGCAATCCTTGAATCAACTCGAGCTGATTGTGGGTTCCGACTGGTGCAGATGCAGGCGCTGGAGCTGGTGATGACCCTTGTGCTTGGGTTTGAGTGAGCACATAAGTCATCAACAATTGGGCCAAGAGGGCTTGAGGATCATTGTCACCTTGCTGGACAGTTGGGGCGGCTGAAGTTGGGGTGGCTGAAGTTGAGGCGGCATTGAAGTTAGATGGGTAAAGTGCTTGAAGCCCCACTTCTCCATACAAAGCACGGTGGCCATGAAACCTTTTAAGGGTGGCTAGGTGCTTTTTACCACTCAAATGACTATCAAAAACCACCTGTGACTCACACTTGATATTGCACAATTCACATATAAAAGGAATCACTTGTTTCGGTTTGGGAGGCTCAACTGGTCTTCGTGATCCTTCATTAGTCCTCATATACTTACCCCCTCGCCCCCCCCTCATCCTACGCTTGAAACCACGTCCCCGAGCTGCAAAGTGATCCCCGGACTTGTTCCCAGGTCCTGCAGAAGCTTCAGAATTGGCCCCAGTATCTTTCTGATCTGTTTCATTTCTATTATTATCAGTAACTACTTCAGAAGTAAGATTTTCTTGTAAGGGTTGTTTTTCCTCAAATCCCTCAACTTTCACAGGTTGACCAACTTCTGTTTTTAATTCAGTGTTGGGCATTTGAGCATTCTGCTGTTCAGTTTTGACTTTGTTGAGTTTCTGCAACTCCTCATATACCTGCATATATTTTTTGTGTCGCTTTCCATTTTTATGCTGCTCAAGGATTTCAGGAGTGTTGCAGTCAACCCTACAAAGTTCACACCAAGCCATACGAGGAGGTCGCCAGAATGAAGTAGAAGACACTTGTGTTGGTACAGGTAATGGTGCCTGCCCGGGAACCAATGCTGAAGGCGGCTGCATTAAAGCAGCTACACCTTCAGCAGGTACAGATGCTGAATTTAGATTGTTTGATGCAGCACCATACTGTGGAAAGTGTCTACCACCACCCTGGCCACGTCCCCTACCGCGGAAAGGGTGGGCTGAGCCATCTGGTCTAGAACCATGGTAACCAAAATGGCCCCGACCACCCCCTCGGAAGGGCCTATTGCCCCTCCTACCTCCACCTCTATATGGAGTTTGCCCAATCTGCAGAATAGCATTTAAGGATAAAGCAATCCATGTAATGGTTTTATTACTAATGCTACCATGAACAGAAAAAAGTAACAGAAATAATGAAAATTTTGAAATAAAATGCACAAAGATAGATATAAACCACTAATGACGATAAGACTTAATATATAGAAAGAACGGAAAGTATATAGATGAATTAAATGCTAAAATTAATCTGACCGAACACGTTAAGTGATTTCTGATAAGAGATTGCACAGATTGATCATTGAAGTAGCAATACATGAATAAAGATTAAGCAAACCACATAAACAACGGGACCTGAAAAGAGAAGCTATGAACCAGATTCCTCAGATTCGTTAAAGAATTTTTAAAAATGAATTACATACTAAATTAAAAAGAAAGTCTGTTAGACAGAGATATCCAATTACATATCTTTTTCTTAAAGAAAAATATCAAATTCAAAACATCGTCAAGGCTACACTAGTTTTCTGAAAAGCATTCTAAGATGCAATTTTGGGGAAGAATGGAAGATGCTGCCATACTTAAGAGAAATCCTGATATATGTCAAATACACTCTCTTATAGAGTTTTTTTATTGCTTCAACATGACGTCTCCTTCATGGGATAATAAGGAAAAGCACATACACAAACACACACACATGAAGACACTAAACCACCTTCTTACAGACGAGTCTACTGTTTTACCATGATTGCATCACCTCAGAAAGTGTTTAAAAGAAAAGCATGAGCACATACGAAATGTCAACTCACATGCATGTGTCCCTAGCAACTTGTAATCAGTTTTTGCTCATCTTCTTGGCTTGGAGGAACGGCCATCAATTGATGAAGAAAACTTTTTTTTATTTTTTATTTTTTTGTTCTTATAAATATGCTCGAGCCATTAAATAAAATAGAAAGATAAGAGAAGCTTGATGGAAGCTTGATGAAGAACACAATGATAGGTTTGAGAAAATGGCATCAAATTTTTTGCATTTGTTGTACTTCATTAGTATAGTTCTTTCTTAGTGAATTTCTTATTTCAAATATATAACACATTTTGCAACAATGTTTTCAAACTCTATATATCAAGTCAAATGCTAGAAACATGGCCAACTCCAAGTAGATTATAAACATTAGATCCATAAGATTGGTCAAATAAAAAAATAATAAAAAAAAGAAACACATCACAATTTGAAGCACATTAATTCACAAATGCATAATTTCAAAAATTGCAATCAAAACCAACAAAGCAAACCCCTTACCGGCGGTTGAGTGGCCCTCTGCGCCGCATCCATGTTCGCAGAAAGTTGCGTCAGCTGCGAAAGTGCAGCCACAGCAGCCGGCATCAATCCCCCCGAACCCGAATTCATTTGCTGCTGCTGCTGATCTTCAACAACCCCATGTGCATAATACGCATTCTGCAAATGGGTATGCCCGGGATCCGCGCTGTGTGGCGGTTCAGGTGGGATTGGGACCCCAGGAGGATGAATCGAAGTGGGTTCTTGATGGAATTGATGTTGGGTGGTGGTGGTGGTGGTGTCGTAGGAATTTCTGTAATCTTGAGTGGGATTGTAATATTGCTGGTATTGGTGCTGGTCATATTCATATTGTTGTTGTTGATGATTGTAGGGATAATAGGATTGATATGAGTGGTCGTAGGCTTGAATTCTTGATGGGTCATATGCTGCTGCTGCTTCTTGTTGTTGTTGTTGTTGTTGGTATTGTTGGTATTGTTGGTATTGGGTGTGGTCTTCTTGATGGGTTTGTGGGTAGGAGTATTCCATGGCTGGCTCTCTCTCTTTTCTTCTGCTCACGGATGCTTCTGTTTGCGCCCCTTGTAGTAAGGGAGCTTCTGTTGGTTTTTTTTGTTACTTATTCTTCTTTTCTTTCATTCTTTTTTTTCTTTTTTTTCTTTTCTTTTCAAGAAGAGGGAGAGGGGACATTTCGGTTTCCATTATTTTATTACATTTTAATAAATTGGAGCTTTTATAATTTTCTATTTTTTTAAAATAGTGATTTTCACATTCCCATCTTTTCATTCTGCACTCATATTCTTGTTTACTTTTTTTTTTCTTTTTTTTTTTCTTTCTGTAATATTAATTTGACAACATGGTTGACAAAGTTTTCTTCATTTTTTTTATCAATGAGATAACGAATTTGGATTTGGGAGCTCTTCCAAAATCGGGTAGAGTACTAAAAAGTAGAGAAAATGTTTGACATTATAACTGGGAGAAAATGAAGTAGCAAATTTCTTCTTCCACAATATTTAAGTTTATTTCCTTATAGCAAGGGGTATATAGCTTAAGTGGTTAAGAGCATTTAACATGCATTGGAGGTCTAAGCTTCGATTGAAAGAAAAGTTCGTTTACTTTTGGTGAGCAATGTTTAAAAGTTATTTGTACTATTACAATTCATGAAACTTCGTAGGCTGGAGGGAGACAACAAGAAAAGGGTTGGGACTTTGTTGGACTTTAGTCTTCGAGTGCAAACCTTGGTGAGATGCAGAGACATGTCACTTCAATTTGGGAGAAAATAAATTTACACATTGCAGATGCGGTGGGAAAAAAATACAGGGGCACCTTATCCATTAAGGAAAAAGTATATGATAACAAAAGTTTAAGGAATCATTTCACCGTCTCAAATATAAATCCTGTCATTATTTGTAACAAGAAGAAATAAGGGTAAATGAAAGGAGAAATCTTAAACAAGAACTTTCAGACTCTCATGTCAATGTCATTTATTGATTCGACAAAATTCTGAATAAGATATGTGAATGGGAGAAATAGTATATCTTATATTTGCAATTATGCTAAGCAATTTTCCCTCCCAAATTGGTACAAGGGCTGCTTACTTTCCGTTTCAAGGCCCCTTTCGTTTTCCTCAGGGCAATCTGTTGGCCTGTACAGAATGCCATCGCATGTCCTTTCTGGTTTGAGGACAAAAGCCTCTTTACTAGAAAGGCAACATATCATTCAAGCTAATTGTTGGTTTCAGGTATATATGTAATTCCTCTAATGGGGTTAAAGGGGCGTCACTAAAAACCTGAACTCCCCATCTGTGTCATCCCCATCACCGAACTTGCAGAAGGATCAGGTGACACCGCCCCTGTCTAATGCAACACTTTCTATAGATTTACAACTATTCCCTAACACTTCAAAGTTCAACTTCATGAAGGTCATCTCCGAAACTACCACCACTTCTTGAAGACTGCAACGATGGCGGACCACTATGCATATGCGACAATGGAGACCTACCAAGTGCTTCTCCTAGAGGTTTTATTTCATTCCTCATAGAAGGATTGCTAGCATGATTAAGGCTTCCACTCCATGATGCTACACGGCGCGATTCAGGGGGAACAAAGCTACTGCCATTTGCCATTTCTTCTGCTCTCTTTTGTACAATGTTGTCCATGCTAGGAAACCGTTGCAATGTGGTCATTGAAGATGACGTTGATGTTTGTGGAGTAGGGAATACATCCTGAAATAATTTTGGGGGATTGTTGATGGTCGCCAATGGCTCTTGCGCGCTTTCTCCAGGTGTTTGAACTGTCTTCTCATAAGAAGTTACAGCAGTGGGGATGAACATCTTGGGATTGGGACCAATCCCAGGTTTAGCAGATGGAAGAGATGGTGACTGAAATAAGCTTCCTGGGGTCCCACCACCCTTGTTGAATGTATCAACATACCTAAGAAAATTTGAATAAATCGTATGTTAAGAGACATTACACTTCTTGTCGAAAAAATACAATGAAGAGCAACAACGAGAGACAGAAAGAGAATCCAGGAGTCTACCTTGAGCGAACACCTGTACGTCCACGTGCAGAGAATTGGTTTGAACCGGGTGGGATGGGTGGTATTCCTGAACTCTGCTCAGGGGGCACCGGGCTTTTGATTTGTGGCCCAGCAACTGCATCGAAACTTTTGGTGTTCAGTGCGTCATTTATGTTGTAATCTTGCACTCTATTTGGGAAGGCTGCAGTTGGTGGTGGAGGTGGTAAGGCTGCTTCCTCGGCTGGAGGTTCAGCACCTTCTTCAACCCATCGCTTAAGTTTCTCATCATAGTAGAATTTATTCTTTTCACCCAATTTAGCCTTCAGAAGAACAAAAACAGGACAACTTATGAGGCTAAACTGAGATAATATAATCTCTACGAAGGAAATCCCCTCATTCAAACTTAGTAACAATAATATTTATGTACCTGCCGATCTGACTGGGATCTTTTGACAAATCCCAGAGTCTTTTGGAATATCTGTGAGCCAAAATTACCAAAACGAGATGTTGATGCCTTTTCTTGTGTTTTAGAAGAGTCCACTTTCTTGGATGGATCAACCTGATTGAACACCAAATAACTGCTGTAAATTTCTTTCTGCCTCTGTCTCTCCTCTCTCTCAGTAAAACACAAGCCAGCTACTGAAATCCAGTTTCTGCTCAAATCTAAAAAGAGCAAGGTTCTAACTTCTCATGCATGTAACTGATGTTTTACATTCACATTTTATATATTTCTTCTATGTCCATTCACTTCATATGCACGAGCACCTCCCAATAACCCAGAACATATAGTAATGAAAAAGAAAATATAGACGTTACTTGTAAAGGCCATAATCTAACCACAAACTTCGATATTTTATAACATTGTTTTTTTTAAAAACAACTTCTAAGTTTAAATTGTTGATCTCACTAGTAGCTCAGAAATTATGAAATTTGTCCAATCCTTAATTACTTATCCAATACTGTAATGCACAATGTGTGAAGCTAAGTGGATTACTAATTTTTTTTGCTCTTTGATTGATTGAACCAGAAGGGATCTGCCCTGTTCAGTAAGTTTGGCTGAACTTCAAGACTGAACACAAACCACCACCGCCCCCCACCCCCCAAACAAATAAAAATAAAAATAAAATAAAAAATATATATATAAATTCATGACACGGTTGATCAAAACAAGGTCTAATGGCAAAAACATTTATCTACCTTTCCTGGGCTTCTCCCAAAATCTGGCTCTGAAATGCTTCTATTGGGGATATTCAGTTGATTGCTCTCAGCAGTCCATTCACTTATTGGCTCCATTGATGCTGAAGGCATTAATGAAGACATACCCATTGTTGATTGATTGTTGGATGCACTTGGGCCTCCTGGTTGATGAGCATGGCCTTGTGATGTTGCAGGTACAGGTGGAGGCAGGCCTCCGACCACACGATGAGCAGTATTATCAAATAATGTAAACAATTTTCCCATCAGTTTGGCTGGGGCCAAATTTGTATTGTAACCACCCTGTACAAAATGTCGCTGTAAGAAAACGTATAGACAGAAAGCTGTCTCCATGTGTCCAATTCAGGTGCTCGACCATATTTTAAAGACTTCAAAATTGCTTGACAGTATCTGACCAAACATAATGTGTAATAAGCTAGAGGCAGATAAAAAACAACCATTTTCAGTCTACAGATAAAAATGGTCTAGATGAACAACACCTATACTTACTTCAGAGCATCTCCAACTTTCCCAACTTCAGCCAGCATGTGGGCATAAATAAGCTTATATGGCTGAAAAGGAAGTAGGAGAAACTGAGAATTTCCAAGAACCCTTGAGTATTCGTACAATTCTGTCCTCTGCCAACATATGCAAAAGGTTGATTTAGTTACAACAAAAAGAACAGCCATAGTAATAACAATAATGAAAACAACAATAACAACAACAAAATAACAATAATAATTAGCAACAATAATAATACAGTGAAACATTTTCTGCTTTCAAATGGTTATGCTACATTCTCCAAAAGCAGACTGCCACATACTTCTGACCAAATACAGAGGAACTATGAAAACAAAACTTTTGGAGGCTCCACAACACAATGAGTAGAACGATCAGTACATGTCAATCATAAGTGTAAGCAAATCATGCATCAGTTAGCGAACTAAAGCATATCAAAAAATGGAGCAAAAACACAGGACTGATAATGTAGACCACCTGGATAGCCTCAGGACTGGCATATGTTCGTGGACATTTCCAATGATCCGCACCAAGAAGACACAGTCTTGCACTCTCTGAATATTGCTCAAAGTTCGCTTCTGCAACCAAATAACATATGTGTGCAGCAGTGTTCTGCGCAATTGCTTTCCAGTCAGGATAAAACCAGAGAAGATAACATCTTTTCGAGGCATAAAAATAAAAGGAACTCAATCCAAGAAACAGACAAAATACCTGGCCCCTTTCCTTCCATAGGCAATCTCCAAGATGGATGATAACAAGCTCATCATCTGTTGTTCTGTTTGCAGTTAAGATGGCTAAATTCTCTTCCCATTCATCTAACATGTAATTGGCCCCAATCTGTAGTAAGGAAATAATCAATATCTTAGACAAAAATATACAAGGAACTTCAATAACATAGGATCATGAGCATGACTATTACACATGCCGTTTCAGTGTTCTATTCAGTAGAGAAGCAAAAAATGAATTTAGGAGAAGAAAAAAAGGGAGTCCCAGGTCTAAGCCTGAAGATATAACCCTTTTTTACGACACAAAGAGATAACCCTTTTTTTTTGGCACAAAATAACCAAATTTGTAAATCACCTGTGTATGTTGTTGTGATACATTCATAGGTAGATTGCTATCTGTAGTGGCATTGGAAAACACGTCTGCAGGCTGCCTGGCAATTAACAAGCACAACGTCCTCAATGGTGATCCTGCTACTAACTGGTTTAGAGCCATATGCTTCACAGTATCACCATAAAACTGCATGCAATAATGAACAAAGCAAATAAACATTAGCATAAAGAACAAATTCTGAAATTAGATCAGACACATTTCCTTGGTATGTTTTGATAAAAAAAATGTTTTTGATAACCTGATCACCAAGCTGCGATGCAATGACCAGTGCAGGACCCCACAATTGACCTTCCTGTGCACATTGTAAAGCCTCTTTCTTCCTACCAGAGACAAGAAGCTTCTGTACCTCAAGAGCAGTAGCCTAAAGCAATAACATATATTCATTATGGAAGGTACTGATAAATTTCTAAAGCCAAAAAGGAAACCCATAATTAAAAGCCAAATTTAAGATAGATTATATATATATATATATATATATATATAGAGAGAGAGAGAGAGAGAGAGAGAGAGAGAGAGAATATGACATACTTGACTCTGTGCTTCAGACGGCAAGTTATGTAAGCAGCACATAAGAGCACCATACTCGTTACTTCTCTTAGCAGAGGAAAAAAGCTTAGCAACAGCTGACTCTGGACTATCAGTTTCCTAATTTTATGATAACAAAAGTGGTTAATAACCATACCAACCGAGAACTGGTAGATGCTCTTGAATATATAAAGAAAATCTCTGCAATTTCAATCTTCACATGAATCAATAAATTGCAAGGATTTAGGGTTGAAACAGATATTTCAAACTAAACTAAACTCACACCCAAAAAAAAAAAAAACCAAAATTCCAAGTTCATATGAAATCACGGACTGCAATAAATTTAGGAAGGAGAGGACCACATAGGAAGACAAAACACTAATAACAGGTAGTACAATCAATCCATCAGTAGAATTCTAAATTTCTAATGATGAAAACACCAGATTTATGGAATTGCAATTTTTTAATCTATACACTTATTACACTGCCATATGGTTGTTTAAATATAACTGAGGGGCCATTCTGTTGCATTTAGATTTAAGAGGCAATTATCAATATCAATACAAACATCTAATTTGAAAATCTGTCTACTGAACACGCCCCATCAAGAAAGATGTAAAACCAGCATAATTAATGTGATAGAATTAAATCTACATGCTCATGAAATGCCCAGGTTTTGATATTTATGACTGAAATACAATTAAAATGTGATATGGCGTCCAAACAGTCAAACAGGTCATAAATAAACAGTTTACAAACCAAAAAAAATACCTTCAATGCCAGGTCAGTACCAAAGGGAGATCGAAGTTTTCCATAATATTGGCATGCTATTTTTAGTAAAGAGAAAAGCAACCTCAAATGGTCCCCTCTTCTGAAATCCATGCAAGCAGTTTCACAGTTTGCAATCTTGTCATCTATCCATTTGTTTAATTCCCTACTTCCAGCATTCCCCCCAACCAAAGGGCCAGGAAAAGATTGTTGGCACAATGCATGGAAATAATCATGACAACCAGTTCCAAAGCTAGCAGCATCAGTTTTGTCTACAACAACTTCCATCAGATTGAGAACATTAATCACACCTCCTACAGAGTCCTTCACATTACAAATTGAAAGGGAAAAGAAATTAGGGCCTATTACAGCATTTATGCCAACACCAGACATACAAGTATAAACATGTACGCATCTACATATATATCACACACACACACACACACACACACACACACACACACACACACACACACATATATATGTACGTATATGTAGGTATGTGTCTCAGGAAATTGAAGTCGGAAAGTAAGGCCTGACCTGGCTTTGATATGTCATGTTCACAGGAGAATAACTATTATCTTTCATGACTATAAGTTTCCCACCAAATCCAAAAGTAACTAGAGCATGTGGAGGTCGTCCTGCAGACGACCTCCCCATACCGGCCTCATGAGAAAACTGAGTTCCACTCTGGACGGGCTGCTGTGAATAATGTACTGGCTTCTGACAATCAAAGTTAGCAGGTGAGAAACTCATCACTTGGTTTGGCTCCTTCGCTTGATTCTGATGCTGAGAAAAGTTTCCTGCAGGATGAAAGCTTTCAAACCCACCAACCCCACCACTGATATCATAGCCATGACTTACCTCTTCATTAAGAGCAATTGATCCAGAAGGATTGAATCCTGTTTGTTGATTCACAGAATTAGTTACATGCTCGGCTGAAAAATACTGGGTTGCATGCTGCTGTTTCTCAGGAAAACTAACAGTGTCGCTCTTGGCAACATTCTGAGTATGCCACATACTCGCACTTTGCTGATCATAGGTGCTCATGGATCCACCCCAGTTTGCAACATTTTGTTCATTGATCAGACTCTGTGACCCATGATTCTCAACATTGGTATTGTGATATTGCTGATTATGCTCCACACTTGTTGACTGATCAGAAGCTGGAGCGGAAGACTCCAACTGCTTCCATTCTTGAGCAATTGTATCAAAGTACCACCCAGGGTACTGGGGATCAAAAACCATATGTGCAGGGTAATCTGTGTTCCCGCAAGAATGCTCATTCCAGTTAGAACCAGTGCTAGTTTCACTTCCCTGGGCCACACTCTGAGAAACAGACTGCGCTGGTTGCTGGAAATAATAAGCATCTTCTTTCTGGTCTGAAAAAACTGCATTATCTACAGACTGAGAATTTACATTAAAACTCTCTTGAGCATTTGCATTAACATTCACATCTGTATTTGTATTGGCACTCACATCATAACCCTCCAACTGATACCATTGCCCAGTATTTGGATCAAACCTCCATCCCGGGTAAAGATTTTCCCAATTCTGACTACTATTCAAGTCCTCCCCATCTAAATTTTGTTCCTCAATAGCCCCCCAAGGCTGACCTTCTTGATTATGCCCGTAACTAGAAGCACCTAAATCAGCAACTGAGTTCTCCAAAACACCATTAGTGACCATAGACTCAGCCCAAGATTTTTCTGTATTACCCAAATTTGCAAATGGGTCTTCCGAGTAATCTCCAAATTCACTGAAAAAATCCGAGTTGCCAGCAGAAGGTTTCAAATCTGAGTTAAACGAACTCCATTGAACTACTTTCACACCAGTTTCCGCTGATACAATACTAGTACTCCCTGCCCCATCTACCGCACCTTCCTCCCCTTTATGCTCCAGTGCCTTAGCCTCATTTCCATTACCGGCTTTATCATCCAATGCACTAGCCTCATTTCTATCATCTGCTTTATCCTCCAATGCCCTAGCCTCATTTCCATTATCGGCTATATCATTCAATGCAATGAACTCATTTTTAGAATCAGGTGTCGGTGACTTGCTTTCTTTAACAACTTCTACAGGGTCCTGAAGTGGATCCAACGATTCCAACACAACCCTATCTTCATGATCCAATTCACCATTAACAAAACCACCATTGCCGCTGATGTCTACTCCTAGAGAACCGGCTTCTGAAATACTCAATTTTGAAAAAGCTTTGACCTCGTCAGGCTCGCTGTTTTGTACAGAACTAGGCACATTTCCAATAAAATCAATGTCGTCATTAACCAATCTGTCAAAGAAATCCTCGTCTGTCTGATCCTCCAACTCAAACGAAGTGGTGGCCATCTAAAAAAAAGCAGACCCCAAACCCTCCAAATCAACCTCGCTATGAAATCAAAAACCCACTTCCCCAATTTGTTTTAGACGACGAGATTCAGTTTACCAACACCACAAAAAAAATAAAATAAAAAAAAATCGAAGAAGCACATCATTCAATCACTGGAAACTTCAGAATTCCCAAAAACTACTACCAGTTATCATCTGAAACCAAATTTATCACAACCAACAAGAAGAAGAACAAAATCAGGGCTCTATAAGTAAAAAGCAAGACAATTGAAAACTCATATTGACTTTTCTGTAGAGAGAGAGAGAGAGAGAGAGAAAGCGTGTGCGCGCTTAAGGTGGGGCTAGTTGGATAAGAAAACAATAAACAATAAACAGAGTACTAAATTGATAAAAATGAAAACTTTGGGTTAAGGAGAGAGTAACTTACTTGTTAAACCCTAATAAATTCTGGTGACGAAGACAGGGAGAGAATTAGAGGACGAAGCATCATCCATCTTGCAGAGCAAAAGAGCAGCCTAAAGATCACCGAAAACTTGCATGTCCTTCATTAGTCTCAGAGTTTGGTGTGTAAATCTTGACCAAAGAGAAAAACAATTTACATTGGCCACGTGCCAATAGTGACAAGAGTTCTGTAGGCGCACGTGATGTATATTGACAAGAGAATACCAAATTCAATACTTGTGGGGTTGGTCTTTGTGTTCTCTGATTCAATATTTGGGAGAATGCCAAATTTACCGATTAAGGATTTGGTTGACTTTTTTACCTCTTTTTTCCAATTAAGGATTTACTAATTTCTAAATAATCACTACAATTACGGTAATGTGATGTAAGGAAAATATGAAGCCCTTTTTGGTACTTTTATCATATTTTCCATTTAGTTCTTGTGAATTTGGTCATGAATTTGTCTCCGCAGTAATACTTCGTTGAATTAGTGTGAAAAAAGCGAAACTAATATTTAGTTATTTAATATTAAAATATCTTACATTGGCCTTCATAAATAAATTTAGAAGCAAATTGACCGAATTATAAACACAAAGACAAGATTAGAAATGGGATAAAACGCAAAAAAATGTAAATGACTCTGAGACTTTGGAAAAACACAAAGGAGAGAGAAATTTTGTAAAAGAAGCCAAAATGGACAAAATTGCCCTTATTTATTTTTGAATTTCCTAAGGAATCCTTTATATTTGCATGTCTTTGATTTGAAAGTTGAGAGGTTTTTCTGTCTTTTTTGAAAAAGCTTTGGGTTTTTCCAAAAGTGGAAATTTTTTTTTGGCTAAAACCTAAATTTACTTAATGGGGGAAATGAGATATCCAGGACAAATGCACTTTTTGTTTACTATCCAAAAAAAAAAAAAAAAAAGGGATGATAAAGGCACTTTGGGAGTGAGGTAATAAGTCGGTAGAGGATAAGTTCTACATTCAATGTGGTGGGGTACATTAGGACTTGCACTCGATTTTTCAAAGTTGTTTGCCACCTTATTAGATATCGTCTTCTTCTTTTTTTTTTTGGTTTCTTTTTTTTTTGGCTAGGCGAACATTCTTAGGGATTTTGTTTCATGAATCTGCACGAAGACAAATTATAAACCAACTGAACGAAACAAAATTTACCCCTTAAAACTTATAGAATCTGAATCCTCTATTTTGATTTTCTCTGTCATGATTTACTTTACTTTTGTTTTCCATACGTCACCTCATTAAAATTTAATCTAACGAATTTAAAAGTTGACACATCATCTTAAAACAATAACCCAATTTATTCCTAATTAAAAAAGAATAAAAACTCCTAACACCCAACTAACAGTAGTTAACATCCAGCTTTTTTATTTATTTTTTATTTCTTCCGTATTCACGTTCTGTTCTGTTTTTTTTCTTCTCCTTCTTATTCACATTCTGTTCTACTAGCCCCTTAGCACATGCTCACGCATGTGCCAATTGATTTTATTTTTAGAATTAAGAAAAGATAACATAGGTAGTTATGTTCCATAAAAGTATGACCTATTATATGATTTTGTTTTTAATTTTAATTTTTTTAATATGAAAAAAAAATGAATTTACCATATTATCCTCATTTAATTAATAATTTTAATTCTTAATGTTTGAATTAATCAAGGGTATTTTATAGTATTTTGAATGTTTCACAATTCTCTGCTTTTTGCTTTATATATATATATATATATTCTTTTTTTGTATTTTAAAAAATATCTCTTTCTGTCATTTTCTCCTCTTTTTTTCTCTCCTTGCATAAACCATCATGTCATCATCTAGCTAACTAGAGTGCTAAAGAGAACAGAAAAGAAAGGATGTAGGAAATAGATTCCAATAAGTATCTCCATTAAAAAGACAAAAGATTTATTATCTTCCCATCAAATAGATGACAAACATAAATTTACACATCAATAATAATAAAAAGAACAATTGTGTATCTTTGGCAAGCATTCCTATTGATATATTGATCTGTATAAAAATAAAAATAAAAACCAAAGGAAAAACTAGTTAGTATTATACAAATAAAATTTCATAATAAAGGTATTACTAAGAGCATAACATACCCATGATTCCAGATGCCATCTCCAGTTTGATCAACATTTGAAGTTGTATGTGGCTTATTGATCATCAAGTTCATAGCCTGTATAAAGTAGTTATGAAAATTGATTATAATAAATAAATAAAAACTTACCATGACTTATAAAAAGAATATTATAAATCTTAATATACCTGACTCCGCACAATGTCATTTGAAACTTGCAAGTCTTGAAATTGTATAAGGAAACTTGCAGGTTTAAGTAATGGTTGGAAACTATGTTGGGGTTCTAGGTAAGGCATCCATGATATTGTATTATGTGCCCCGTGATCTTGTGCCTATGCTGTATTACACTAACATTTTAAACTAGAAACATGATATGAGAACAAAAAATTAAATAATGATACTTACAAGATATGTAGCTAGATGACATATCTTATTATCTCTTAAGTGTTGCATTTGGAGATGCACATGTTCATAATATACAAATTAAAAACTAAATTAATAAAAAAAATTATTATATTGAAATTGAACTTTGAATGTAAAAGAAGAAAATACCTGTGACGAACGAGAACTAGATGATTTTTTATTCTTAGCTATGTTTTTTTCCAAACAACTTTTTATTCTTTTTCTTCCTCGGGAGGCTTCCCTCTTCTTTAATCCCTTTGCTTGGATAACTTTTGCACTACCCAAGAAACATGCCTCATTAGTACCATCTGTCACTATGGTGGAAGGTGACCCTTGGCCATTCTTATCATGTACTTGACCATCCATTTTTGAACTTAAAATGTCTTCAATGGTTTTGCTTAGTTGATTCAAATGACTAACAAAAATCTTAATGTTTCTTCGCTCTCAGCAGCTCGAGATGATATCTTGGTAAACATGGAACATAAAGACCTATATCGAGATGTTTGTTGTAGTTTCACATCTGTCTGAATGTTACGTCCATGCATATCTTTCACACTTTCATATCTTGCTTTTCTTGTTCACCTTTTTAAGATATACTTGTCAGGAATTTCTTTGACATTCATGTAATTAGTAAGAATTTTCAGTGCATGGCTGCACAGAAAACCTTTCATCTCAAACAACCTACAACTACAAGAGACATCACCATCTTTTTGTTTTCTAACACATCGCTCTTTCGAGTTACCATGTAGGACAACTGTATACACCAAATCATCACCATCTTTGTCACAAGATATCATGTCTAATTCAAGTGATTTGATATACTGAGCTTGGAAATCCTCAAATATTGCTTTGGTATAAATATTTCATGCCTTAACCACCATTGAAACATGTATTATCACATTCGGTAACTTTTGACACAAAGCATACTCTGCTTCCAACTCCTTATATTGCTTATCATTAAGTACCCTTTCAAAATGCATGAAAAATTGCACCACATCATGGTCCACATTCAAATAGTCTTTTAAGGTAGCATTAAAAGTTTCACTTATCTATGTAGTTTTTACTCTTGCAAACCAAGACCACTTACAGTATGTCATTGCCCATTTCTTCCTTAAATAAAAAATGCTTTCTAACCAAGGATGTCCACGCACATTGTATTCATCCAACATTGATTCCCAAGCAACTAAGACTCATCTTCCTCCTCATAGTAATCCATAAATTGTGTTAAAACACTCCTAACTCCACATGTGCACCTAAATAAACTATTTACATGTTTCATGGCATTTTGCATTATGTGCCATGTGCAAAGCCTATGATATGTATTAGGCATCATATATGCATAAGCCTTAGCCATCATAGCATCTTGATCAGTAAATAAGGTTTTTCGGGGCCTTCTTGGACACGGCCTCTAAAAATATTTCAAACAACCGTATAAATGAATTGGCAGTCTCATAGTACAACAATGTTGCCCCAAAAATAGCAATCTCACGATGATGATTAAATCCCACAAACACTCTTAATGATGATTTGCTTCATTAGTTTTGTACGTGGTGTCAAAACACACAAAATCACCAAATTGACCATAATCAACAATCATTGTTGCATCAGCCTAAAATATATTCGTAATTTGCTCATCACAATCTAATTGCACGGCATAAAAAAAAAAATGAAGGTTTCCAATGCTTCATTCTGAAAATACTTTAGTAAGCTTCCTGCTTCTCCATATGCCAATTTTCTTTGCCTCTTCGTCCAAAGGTAATTTTTTTGATCTTGTTTGATATATCCAAGAGATTCTCTTCCACCAACTTGCCTACCCATTAACTCATATGCCTGCCTAAGTGGAATCCCAGATTCTTCTGTCAAATCTACTTCAATAGCTTGTGAAGCAGATATTCTTCTATGAGACGGTAACATATGAGTGCATTCTTGTCTTACAAAAGGATGATTGTGGTTTTCCATAAAATGGCTAACCTAATACTTACCAGTAGATTTATTCAACTTAATGCTCATTTTAGCATTACAACCCGTCCTTGTTTCTGCCCGAGAACTTTTAGTTAAATAATCTCGCTAATCTTTCGGTCGAAAACCCTCCTTGCAACAAACAAATACTCTTGAAATTATTTGACCAGTATTCTTATTCTTGTTATGTGAATCTCTTCTAATACTGAATCCTACTCTTCACCCATACTCATTATAAAACTCATATCCAGCTTGTTCTGAAAGAAATTCCATATCACATATGGGCTTGTAATCTAAATTATCTTCACAGATTGTAGGCATTGAATCTTTCATTCTCAATCTATAATAATATTAATCTATCATACAATGATAACCGTCAAATTTATATTTACATATTAAAAAAGAAGGATGGAGGTAGATATACCAAAACATTAATTGAAATCAAATTCAAAGCGCCACACACAGAAAACCAATTAGCTAGTCTCAATGAAAAAGTGGGAAATTTTGTTGCAGACATAGGAACCAAAAAAGAAAAGGAAAAAAAGAAAGAAGCAAAGCATGCAGTAGGGACTAATAAATGAAAGCATATGTAGCATGAACCAATAAATATATAAGAGTATGTATCAAGGATAAAAGAAAA